GTTCTGCAGTGGTCACCACAGCTCTGAGCTCAATTTCCCAGAAGACTCTCGTGTGGTGGACGTTCCCATTCCCACCTAATCTGCAATGATTTGGGGTTAAATCATTAAGGTCCCCAATGTATGGACGTAGCTGTGGTGATGACAACAATGCAATCAATGGAATTTTGCTCTGGTTTATGTTAAGGATAATTGCTTTGCCCACTGTTGCTTTAGCCTGGTTAATCGTGGTGATTCTGAGATAAAGAGCTCCTTAGCTGTGTGGCTGCTGACTGGACCAACGTCTTACATAGCTCGTGCATGTTAGACCAGTGAACACAATCTTGACACAGATTTGTTTTTCTGCCTTTAAGTTTGTTTTTGTATCACCTTATAGAAGTAAGTTATAAAAAACATACTAATCTAGTGTTACTTCACTAAAGCATGCTGTTTCTGACACAGACAATGCAGCTTCCTACTGTGAGTTCCTCTTGTCCCTGCTGACTACTTCTCATTCTTGATATTGCCGTTCATACTAGGGAACCCCTCTTCTTGGTATCCTGGCTTTTCAGGTTCAAATAAACTCCTTCATAATGTGGTTGGAAAAAAAAGAGCTCCTAAGTAGACTGTATCTAGGAAATTATGATCGCTTTCATTCCCAATTTTCAGCTTTAAAGAAGACATTAATTCCACAATACTTAGAATTTCTGATCAAGCACAGGTAACTTCTAGTTCTTGGCTAGAAAGTAATAATAGTTATATACTACTACTACTATTATTAATAATAATAATAAACAATCCCTTAACAGTGGCCACACCCTAGAGCCAGGAAGCCTATGTTTATATCTCAGATCCACTATTTACTAGATATATGACCTATGCGACCCAGGGTAAGTTAAATAACTACTCTATGCTTTTATTTAAAACCTATAAAAATGACATCTATGTTACAGGGGTGTTGTGGAAATTACATGGGCATGGAAAGCTGCCTGATATACAAGTGTTCAGTAAATGTTAACTATTATCAAAAGCTATTGAAGATGGGTCATATGATAATGTTACATGTTAAAATTGACTATTTTAGGTGATTTAAAGTATTCTATGGGGGACTTCCACCAAGATGGAGGCATAGGTGGACACACCGTGCTTTCTCACACAACCAAGTTTAGAGACAACAAAATATTAGCAACAGAAAACATAGCCAAAACACAGAAAATTGAACTTTTCAGAAGTCTGATAACAACGAATTCTTCAGCCTGACCGGTAAGAGGGGTAAAGCCAGCAGCTGGCGGAGCAGGGTTGCACAGGAAAACTCAGTCAGATGGACTCAAGTGCATGGGTCCCAGGTGTGGGATTGCAACGGGCAGATCCAGTGAGCAACCCAGTGAGCTACCCAGAGAGCGACAGGTGGACCCAGCAAGGGCGCAGGGCGGCTGGTTGACTGTGGTCAGACATTTGTGCGCAGATAGACCGGCGAAGGAGTGAGCAGTGAAATGGGACTGAGCAGGCCCCAATGGCAGAAAGCAGTACAGGGGGCCACCATTTCCCCGCTCTGACCCCGCCCCCACACATAGCATCACAACCCAGCGACCTGGGCTGTCCCACCCTGGTGAACACCTGAGGCTCCGCTCCTCATAGTTAACGAGCGTGAACAGACCAAAAATGGCTCAAGAAGATCTCAAAGCCCCAGAGCCCATAACTCTAAGCTATGAAGAAATAGCAAAACTTTCAGATGCACAGTTCAAAACACTGGTGATCAGGATGCTCACAGAACTGGTGGATTTTAGTCACAAATTAGAGGAACATATGAAGGTGAAACTAATTGAAATGAATAGAAATGCACAGGAAACCAATAGTAATGGAAAGGAAACTGGGACTCAAATCAAGGGAGTAAACCAGAAGGAAGGAAAAAATGACCGAACAGGAAAATATGAAGAAACAAGAATTCAAAAAAATGAGGAGAGACTTAGGAACCTCCAGGACATCTATAAACGCTCCAACATCCGAATTATAGGAGTACCACAAGGGGAAGACCTTATTTGAACAAATAATAAAGGAGGATTTCCCCAATCTGGCAAAGGAAATAGACTTCCAGGAAATCCAGGAAGCTCAGAGAGTCCTAAAGAAGTTGAACCCAAGAAGAAACACACCAAGGCACATCATAATTACATTAGCCAAGATTCAAATGAAGGAGAGAATTCTAGAAGCAGCAAGAGATAAGGGGACAGTCACCTACAAAGGGGTTCCCATCAGACTGTTAGCTGATTTCTCAAAAGAGACCTTACAGGCAAGAAGGGGCTGGAAAGAGGTATTCCAAGTCATGAAATCCAAAGACCTACAACCGAGATTGCTCTATCCAGCAAAACTTTCATTTAGAATGGAAGGACAGATAAAGTGCTTCTCAGATAAGATCAAGTTCAAGGAGTTCATCATCACCAAGCCCTTATCACATGAAATGTTAAAGGGGCTTATCTAAGAAAAATAGGATAAAAAAGATGAACAGTGAAAGGACAGCAAACTCACAGTTATCAACAACCATACCTAAAACAAAAGCAAATTAAGAGGACAGCTAGATCAGGAGTGAACCATAGAAATGAAGATCACATGGAGGGTTAGCAACAGGGGAGTGGGAGAAGGAGAAGGGGAGAGAAGGTACAGAAAATAAGTAGCATAGATGGTAGGTAGAAAATAGATAGGGGGGAGAGTAAGAATAGTATGGGAAATATAGAATCTAAAGAACTTGAGACATGTGGTCATAAACTAAAGGGGGGATGGTGGGGGTGAAGGTGTGCAGGGTAGAGGGGAATGAAGGGGGGAAATAGAACAACTGTAATGGTATAATCAATAAAATCAAATAAAATTTAAAAAAATAAGTAAGAAGAGAAAATAAAGTATTCTATGGGGTTAAGAAAGATTTTGATCCTCTAATATCTGAATGTGCCTTGCTCTCATTTTTCTTTGTACTGCACCCATTAAATCTGGTATAGTTAATGGCAACCGCCTTGCTAATAAAGCCGAAATATTCTGTAATCAGCTCTGCCACCCTAATTTCATGAGATTTCAGCTCTTCAGCTCAGAATACCAATTGTGTAAAAAGTGCAATGAATTCTAACTCACTTTTGATTGCAATGATCTGAACCAAACATGAAAACTAGTTGATCCAAAATGATTTGGGCTTTACAATTTTGTGCATTACGTGATCTGCACACTCAAAACAGGACTATCTTTGAATTTAATATATTTTCCTTTTCAGATGACAAAAATTCTTTTAATTAAAAACATTTTTTAAAATTTCAGTATGTGTAATTGTTAACACCTGCAATGTGTTATCAACAGATGTTTCTGGCTTACCGAAGGGAACTGTTGTAATTATTCTATAGGCTTATTGGAATGGCATTTTCCAAGATAGTTGGGAAATGTTAGCTGCTGACTTTGTTTGCAATATTTGATATTTCTTTTTCATCCTTCCCTGATTGCTGTCAACCCCCCCCATCCTCTCCTCACAACCAGGCCCACTGAAAGAACCGTCCTTCTGAGGCACCAAAATGGTTACAAAACTCATCGTGTCTATTTTAGTCTTTGTGAGAAATGACTGAAATTAAATTATGTGTATTCTGACACAGTGTAAAATTTACTTTTAAATGTTTTAGCAGCTAATCCTTGTAATGTTCAACATGGAAGTCTTACATCTTGATTATAAATGTAGAAGTATACCATTTAGATAGATAACACCTCTTTAATAACTCAGCTTCAAATGAAGCTATTATAAAAACGAGTTTGCTGTATTTTTCTGACCATTTATAAGGTCTTGGAAGCAGTCGACTTTCTGAATTCTTCATTTATGATACTAATCACACAATTACCTACAGGCATGTGTTAAATATGACACTGGTTTCAGCCAAATAATGGGCCAATGGCAAACAATGAATAAAGAGAGGCAGCTCCATTTATAACCGCTGTTTCCACAGAGCTCCATTGTAATCAGAGTGATCTGAGGGTGACTCATTAATTAATTGATGTTCTTTTTTTATTATGTGCGATTGAGTTAATGAGTAATTTGTGTGAGATAATTCTCTGAACACATTGATTACTTGAGATATTTTCTGAACCTTTCATAGCAATGACAAGCTGAATAGGTAAAGGACTGCATTCGCTTTTGTGTGCTCATTATTAGTAGGTTTGAGATGAGTGCCAACCAATGCAAAGGCACCTTAAAGTCATCTGATGCCCAGGGCAAGACCGCTCACGGAGTCGGCTCTCCATAAATGCCAATGGAAACCACGACTGTCCTAAAGCTTGGCTTTCTACTACCTTCAATGGCATTCAGATCACATTTAAGAAATATCAATAATGATGTTTTTAAGAAAAAAGAATAACCAAAAGACTTTTGCTGAAACTGTATTCTGTGCTAATGGTAAATATGCAGATTGTTTTCCCAATTTACTGAAGGGAACACTAAGCATGTTTGGACTATATCATTTCTATGAAATTGTTTAAGTGACTATTCAGAGGGCAGTTTGCCTCAAGTGAAAATTAAAAGGAAACCACTTTTATCTGGTATGTTTCACCACAGTGATAATTTTCAGCACACCATCTCTTCCTTGAAAATGTAGGGTTTACTGGCGTCTATTTGCTTTAATTAATTACACGGAAAGGAGAACATTTGAAATTTAGTCTGACGACATAGTTGCTTTTAGAAAGATCACTTAAAATTCGTACATATGTGCAAATTGTACCTAGTAATTGCTACCTTCACTTTTGACAGCTTTATTTTCCCCACAAAAGTAAATAGCAGTAAAAATCTTAAATATAATATTTGGGAAAGCATTTGATCTACTTTGTTAATGCTTATGGTTTACCTCTTAAAAGTAAATGTCCTTAAAAACTATTTTCCTTTTTCACGAGCTTAGCATATGCTTTCTAGATATCACCTAGATTGTGCCAATTAAGAGCAATCCAATTGTGTCATACCCCTTTTATTAAAAACATAAACTCAAATATGAAAAATGAATGAAAGAGTCCAGCAGATTTTTATTAAGCAAGATGAAAGTGAAGTCACAAACACAGGTCAGCTTTTAAACTCAGCCAGCATTCTGGGGGTCTGGAGGTGCCTGGTCCTTCATCAGAGGCAGCTTGTACGTGGTGCATGTTTGGAAGGGCGAGGTCCCTGCTTGAGAAATCAAAGCTCAATTCAACGGGTCCTACTGGAGGCACCAGATAACAAGCTAAGTGACATCAGGGCAACACAGCACAAAGAGGGAAGCTGACAACAATTCAGGAACTTTGAATATTCAAGACAATTAGCTTAGTACTTCAGGTCAAAGATGCTACTGTTTATGGGCAATTAGCTATTAAATGGCCTATTTCTGTCTTCTTTCACAAATTCATAGAGATTAAAGATAATCTAAAGAGATTAAGGCCTTAATCTTTAATCTAGGTGAGTAATTGCATTTGTAGGAAAAGCATAAGAACAAATTCTCAAAGGGTCACTATAAATAAAAGGCAGTAAAAAACACTGCTTGGTCTCTGGGCGCCAAGGATAGCTGGCCGGTTTGTTCCCAGTTTACAGGTATTTTTGGCAGATTGATCTTAACATATACAGAAACATTTAAATATTTAAAGATCATTTGAAAAATACACTGACAATTAAAACTGAACGTCCACATGAACGTCAAGCAACTCTTATTGGGGACTACGTATGTACGTACGTGCATGGCACAGCTACAGCGTCACGCAAACCACGCCCCGCTCTCTCCCCTGCTCCCACGTGCTCTGTTTTGTTTTGATTTGCTGTTTTTAGCTTTGACTCTGCAAGTCTTTTTATGAATCACATGTAAGGCTCTAAGGCTAAAATAATAGTTCTATTATGGGCCTCACATAGCTATTCTTGAAGTTTTTTCATCTCACTTTTGGGGGGCACATGACTTGCACACTCTTAACCATGAAGCATTTGTGAAAATACATACCATTCACTTTGCACAGAGTCATATTCTTAAACATGAGAGGCAATATCCAGATTCACATGCATGTCCATAATGAAGCTTTGCTTTTAAAAATGACTCAAATTAACACCAGCATTATTTGCAGCTTAATATTTTGGCCCCAAAACCACCAATTCAGGGATCACACTTCATTTTCATCTGCAATACATGTATCGGCAGCATAAAATATGTATGCAAAGAACACTGGGAAATATTGTTTCCTATACAAGTGATCAAGGAAAAAAAAAACCACAGTGCTAACTTTGTTCTAGTAGAAATATGCTTCATTGTGCCCATGTGGGATTAGATTTGTTGAAAGGTAGTTTTATTACAGGGAACAGAAGCAAAGGAGCAAAGTGTGAGCAACCCAGAAGAGGGATTATATACTCATTTTTATTTCTTATGCTGTAATTTAAATAATCAGTCTCCATAATTTCTGTTTCTAGAAAGTTTTCCTCTTTATCAGCTATCATGTATGTATGGGAATAATATTTCACCTTTACAAAATGGAGTGAGGGATTTCAGTTTAGGTGTGATATACACTGATTGGGTAATTACTCAAAGAAAGCAAGAAGAAGACACATCAAATTTGAAAGTGTTCACTTTTAAACATTAAAATAAGCGGCATGTAAATAAAGGAAAATATATAATCACCACTTCTCAGCTTTTTATCAATCCCTTTGTCTCTCTTCTTCTAGAAGATTCTATGAGCACTATGTTGCTCAATCAGAAGTAACCTCACTGCTCAAATATCATCCTAGCTTTAATGTGCATTATCATAATTTCAGTAGATTCACACTCAAATCCTTTTAGTGCCAGAAATTATCAAGTCATAACGTTATTAAACACTTAGCTCTTCTGGAGAGGTCTGGGCAAAATTTTTACAAGAAATTTAATTTGTCATTTAAAAGTTATCTCATAATTGTGGTAACACTTTTTAAAGTAACCCTTTGGAAAAAACTTATGATACCCAAAGGCACTAGTTCACAACAAGGGGGTGAATGACTGAAGAGCAGACTAACAACAAAGCTATCACACAAGCAGCGGGCACACATACAAGGATATTAAGAGGATAACTGTTAAGCTTTAAAGTTATTCTAAAAGTGGCACTTTTCACGTTGGTACAAAATGAAAGTGCTTTAAGATGAAATTTTTATGCATTTTTTTAAAGCTGATCTTAACCCCCTGAAAATAGGGGGTTATAATGAGAACACTGATAGACTCTAAATCATAGTGGCAATAATGGTGGGTGTTGCTAAAACGCTTTGTATGTCTGTATTTTTTTAGTCTGTCTAATGTTGATAGACTTGCTTTATCTATATGTGTATCATTAGTGAGATTTGCTCTTCAATTTTTTACTAGAAAGTTACAGCTCATTTAAAATAGCTGGTAGATACAGAAAGCATAAATATACAGTAAGTTTAAACACTGATTGTACTAAATGCAACAATACAAAGAAGCAAACAGAACACAAATGGTAACACAATAAAACTGTATTACATTTGTGCTTCAGATATTACAATACATTATATACAATAGTCCAAAATAAACATCTCATGCCAAGTGACACAAAAACGAATAGCAAGCAAAAATCCAGCAATATGTACATTACTTTTTTCTTTAATAATAAACATTCAACTCTGAACTGGGCAATTTCACTACATACAGATGCAGTCCGCCTTTTATTTCATATATCCATCCTGCTTTCCTATATCTACGCTATTCAGTAGGTTGTGTCAATTCTTATATACACGTGGAGCAAAAAAGATAAAAGAATGTAGTGCTTTGTATTCTTAATGGGGTGATGTTGATAGATCAGCGAACCTGGGGTGCATAACCTTCTTTCATTAAACCTTCCTCGTAGTCCGTCTGGCAAAGGATCATGTTATTCTTTAGGAAAAATTTGTCTCCAACACAAAACCTGAAAATATTTTTAAAAATAAAATGTGTTAAGACCATTTCACTCAGATACATAGATTTGAAGATTTCTTTTCTCAATGATAATTTCACTTTGTAATTCCCTGAATTTGAAAGCTTGGCTTAGAATGTTGCTCTTATTATCAACATTAAAACATTGCAAACAAAATTTGAAATCCTACCTTTATATATAAAAATCATAGGAACATCAAGGAAGATGCATTGGGCAGCAAACATATTTTTTTAAATTTTTTATTTTACCACACTGAAAAGTAAAAAGAACTGCTCTATGTATACACTCATTAAACTAAGAACAAATGATAATATTTCACTGCAGTGATTATGGAAGACTTCATGATCCACTTTATTTCAAAAAGGCATTAAAATGAATCAGACAGTTAGAAAATAGCCCATTTTAAAGTTTTCCATTTAAAGTTTCCTCTTACTCTGTGATTAAAATGGGATTAAATTCTGGTAATTTGGAAGTGATCATTCTGAACTGAAAGTTATTTTTAGCACCAGACTCTGACTGATGTGGGGCCATATTCCTTTGTCTGTGGCAAGTTCATAAACTATAAAATAGTAAATATCATTTCCTTAATTGAACACTTTCAATTAAACCTCAGGGCATAACCTGAACACACTTTTTAATATTACTATGATAAATAAACTATTGCCCATTACTAATTATTATCTTATTTGATAAAAAATTGTTTAATGTTCAAGATTGTAATGTTTTCAGTAAGTGCTATTTTTGTATAATTTCCCAGTGGTGATACTTTAAACACAATTAAAGTCAGAAATGAATGCTAGTGCTGTTTCCGGTACATTTAACAATAAAGTAACTCTGGGGAGATTTGTATATATTTTTAATTATAACAATTCAACCTTCAAACAGCAGTGTCTGGTAGAGTTGACTCAGTAAAACTACTTGTAATTATACACGTTGACCTCGCTGACCTTTGATAGTGGTCTCTCTTTATCAGATAGTCAATTTCCAATGATGTTCAAGCAGAAATCTTAGTGGATAGATTAAATTGTGTAGTGAAGCCACCCTTTAAGGTTTTGTGAAGTTGAAAGTTTAAATGAGGAGCAGTTGGACTGATTTACATTTGCAAAGACTGGAATGCTAGACAAACAGAGAATCTATTTATTTTCCAACTGGGTAGCTTTGGAAATTTATCCTTTTTCTAGCTTAAGTAGATAGAGGGAGAAAATGGCGTAATAAAAAAAGTAGATTGAAAAGAATTAGCTTTCCTCTTAAAGAAGATTGGTCTGTTTATTTGTGGAATTTACTTTTTTCCCCAGGATTACTGCCTGCTGATGAGGTTGATTGAAAGTACAGACTCTGTGTTAATCATGGAATCTTGGAGTCATTTGTGGTCAAAGCTACTGGATGCCCTGCACATTCAAGTTTGGGCTTTAAAAGTACACCTTTTTATTGATGGCACACTGTAAACTTTAAATATTGTGCTTAAAAAGTGGTGTTGGAATAAGAGAGTTTGGGCAGATTACCCTGATTACTAACACATGTTGAGGAAAAGGACGGTCCTAATGGCCAATGTGAAGACTTAACTTTTGTGAGGTTATATAGAATAGCATGTAGAATATATGTGATTAGTGTTCAAATTTTCACTTGATATTACTATTGAAATTAATTTGAACTAAGAAGCTAAGAGTAAAACATCCCATCAAAAATAAATATGTTCCATTAAACACTCTTGTGCTTCTGCTGATACTACTGAATCTTTTTTCCTGAAAACCAACTAAATTGGAAATACTCTTTCAACTTCCTATTGTCTAATAGAATTTTGCTTTAATTTTTCAACATATTTTTAACAATCCCCCAAATTCTATTCACTATCAAATGAAAACATGTTTATTTGCTTTTTTTGTCGTGTCCTGTAATGTCATTCTTACCTTCAGAGGCCTTGAAATGTAGATAATTGTTATTTGTAGATTTATAAACTCAGGGTAATTTATAGTGAGAAAAAGCAGTGAACCATGACCCTGTGGATCTGGCCTTGCTACTATCACCTACGCATAGCAACGCACGTGGCACATTTCATACTTCTGAGTTAGTTCTCTGTGAATAAGCCACATCCTTGGATTGTAGGAATGTTATAATAAGAAATATGTGAAAGGTAGAGAGGCATATTGCAATAAATAGGGTTCAAATCTCAACTTTCCACTTAATGATACTGAGATAAGATTTTGATTTTTCTTATTTGTAGTATCAGCTACTTTTGTAATTTTGCCATAAAAAGTATGTGAAACCTTACCTCAATGTCTGGAGTGTTGGAAATTAAAATAGCCACCTTTTATAATGCACTTACCATATGCTAACGCTAAGTGTGTATATATGTGATCCCATCATTCCCTTCAATCAACCTAAATCAGAGATATTATCATTTGCCTTTTTCAGTGAAAAACCTAAGGCTTCCTCCCAGCATTTAAAATACCTGCCCAAGGTTTCATAGCTGGACGTATGAGGTGGAGGAAGGAAAGGAACCAGGTTTCTTTGGATCTAAGACCCATGCTTTTACCTCGAGGCAGCACAGCATGAGGCTACAAAGTTACACAGACCTTTTTGTATGTGTGTTACAATTATACCTTTTCATAACTTTCAAAAACGTCTGCCTGCCATTCAGTGAAATGTTGGTAATATAAATGAAATTCATCTGAAATACTTCTCCTTGAATATTTTGTCTCTAATACATTGTCAATTGGATAAAGTACATTTTATGTGCACTTCAATTTATACTCAAAGGTCAAGATGAAAGAGAGAATGGGTGAGGGGTGTCACAATCACATATACAACTCAAACAAAACAGCCCGAGAGCTCTGGTGCAGAGAAAAAATGATGGCTGGGATGCAAATAGAATTGGTGTCCTCCTCTGAAATGTTTCATATATAAATGAAGCAATTATAAAAAAACAGGAATGCAGATCTGAGACACTTAACAAAATAATCTGTAACTGTGATTTTGTAAGGCAGGCTAATTTCCGATGCTATGTAACTAGCTCCTTCAGAGATTTAGCACTTGCAGTAAAAATATTTAAAAAGTAGGGATACTGACAGTATTTTAATAGGTAGGGCTAAAATTCCTGAAAGTAAACTGATAATCTTTCTTGCAATCTAATCTTCATTACTTGTGATACAGTCAGTTCAATTAACTTTTTGTTCATTTTAAAAAGTACATAAAAGAATAAAAAGATGCCAAATCAGATTTTTAAACCATCTAATCGTGATGTTTGGAATTAATTACAGACTTCATTTCCACATATTTTGAAGTGATTCTAGTTGAATCCGTGTGGTCTTAGACAGTTGAAAAGTACAGAATAAATCATCCCTGTGTTATATGGGGCTTAGAGTAGTTTTGAGCAGGTTTTCAAAAGCCTCTGCTAAGAAGCCTCCATGTGTAACATCCTTTCTAAGAAATGAGACAGTTAACTTAGTCGTCTTCTTTTCCTGAGGTTACTGAGTGTCACTTACTAATTTTCACTTCAACAACAATTTAAAACGGAGAGTGTCCAGTTCATACATCCAATGTCTCTACCTTCCTATTTACCATGCTCAGTTACTAAAAGATGGAGATTTCCATCCTGTACTTTGTTTTCAGTAAGAAGCATGGGTTCTAGGCCCACTGTCTCATCACTACAGAATGGTGCATACATTTGCTGTCTCTTCCCAGTGAGAGCTCAGCTGCTATTACACACTTCATTCGTAGCAATCGTTCCAGCCCCAAGTTAGACTAACACACTCTGAGTTCTGCTGGAAATGATTTGACACCTACCTTACTGTAACACCCCTGTATCTAATCACATTTATATCCACTTGGCCAAAAAATAAAATACTCCTCTTGAAACAGCTTTCATATTGGCTCCAGAGACTAAAACCAGACTGCCAAAGTTCAAATCTTGAGCCTACCATTTTATACCTGTGTAATCTTGGAATAGTCGCTTAATCTTTTTGTACTTTAGTTTCCTCATCTGTAAAATTAGATCAATAATAGTACCTATTTAGGGGTTATTTTGAGTATTAAATGGGTTAGTATATGTAAAACAGAATACTGTCTGGGGTATAATCACCACTATATAAGAATATATCCTCATTATTATCTGCCAGGGATAACCTTTTCACCTTTGCTTAAAAGGTCACCTAACCAGGGATGTGGTTAAAGTTTCCATCTAACTTAGAGTCTAAACATTCTTTAGTTTATTCCTCCATCAATGTTCCCTGACCACATCAACTCATTCTGATCTTTCCAAAAACAGTTTTTATTAATGTAGCATTCACTTACTTTGGCATTTCAAATTTTCTCATAAGTGTGTAACAGGTTTCCCAATGTGGACAGGAGTGCTGGGGTGAGTGACCACGAGTTTTACTTGTTTTGATCCCTCTGCAATACCACTATCATTGTGCAGTCGCTGAGGTGGGTGGTCAATAAATATTGGTTAAGGTAGATTTATCTCAGAATCAAATAGCTTTGAAAACCAAAGATAGTTCAGATGGGGTAAGTTCCATTTGTACTCATTTTTACTTTTAATCACTGACTTCCTATCTTTACAATTTCATCTCTGGCTCCTCACTCCTCCTTATCACTTCCAAACTCTCGGCCTAATCTCAGAGCACATGAAGCTACTTCTAATTTCCTAAACATATTACATGCTTTCAACCCCCCCATGCCTTTCATGCTGTTCCATCCGTCTGGGAGTCCCTTTCCTCACTGCTTCTGACCCTCCTCTCCCCGACACCCCAGCAGACACACTTCTGCTATCCTAACTAGTCTTAGCGAGTTCTTTTATGAAACCCAGCACATCAGCATGCGCTGTTTTCCTAAGACTTCCAGGATGCGCCTCTCTTCCCTCGGGATGGATGTCTTTAGCATCAGTTACACTCTCCCATGAGTCTCTGATGCCTGTCTCTCCCCCAGCTCTGAATAAATGAAGAGAGAAACTAGATTTTACTCCTCTCTGTTCCTACAGATCCAAGCACAATGATTTTATTTTTTAATGAAATAAAATGAAATGTTTTCTTTCCTACATAGTTGAGGCAATTTATTACAAACAAGTACATCTTTTCCTTTTCTTATAAAACCACCATTTAGTTTTACACAATTTTCTAAGAGGGAGAGGCCTATTCACCTTCAAGAAGTTAACCATTACACAGAATTTTCCACTATGAAAGTAGATCCAGGTTATTCTACAAGACACCCAAGAAAACCTTCAAAATAGAGAAATTTTAAGATTTGTAATTCAGGACTCTACATTCTTAGCCATTCCCCTCTAAAAAGAGGAGAGAGGGTATATGTAAGGGAAAACCAATCCTGAAAAGTTGTTATTGCTAACATTTTTAAACATTCAGAAATATTATGATATTAATAATATTTTGATTTACAAGCTACCATGAGATGACTGCTAAATAACATTCAGAAGCAGATATATGCTACCACAGTTTCAAATGTCAATAACATTTGCTTATGGGAAAGTGTCTATAAGTTACCTATGTGTCTTGTGTTTCACTTCAAGTGCAATGCTATGTCACTGATATGGCTACCGAGCTCATAGGCTTCTTTGGCATACGGCTTTAGGGAAGATGGTTTCCTAAGGCAATGTCAAAGTCAAAGCAGAACCTTCCATATTGAAAACCTTCTGTATTGAGAGAAACAAAATTTGTCCGCTGTGCTTGGCTGATGAAGATTAGTTGACTACCTGCATTAAAGAAGTTTGTCTTGTTAAGCTGAAGTGACAAGACAATAACTAAGTGCTAATTGTGCATAACCAGAACTAAAGATATGCAGTCCCATTATGGCATGTAATAGATGAAGCGAACATAGAAATATATTAGGTATTTTAATAATGATACTAGAATAGCATTTTGCAGCAATAATAATGTGAATAGTTTTAGAGTCAAAATTTAGGAATGTTTGTCGTACTTGACTGAGTTCTACTGAGGAGACAGTCTTAATTGTGAGTGTAACTTTTTATTTCAATGGTGAGATAAAATGAAACATGATTTGTAAATAGCTTGAACAACCTACAATTATTCTGCATCACAGTGAATTTAGCCCTGGTTTAGCACTTGAATAACATTTTAATTTTCCGTGTATAACATGGATAAAACAGGTAAGCTTTTCCTAATAGAAAAAAATGGGCAAACTGCCATACATTGGCAGTTCCCTAAATAAAGAAATAGCAAAGGGCCACTGGTAAGCAAATGCATGCTAACTGGAAATTATAATGAGATACCATCTTCCATCACTTAAGGTGACAAAGATTTCTCTCTAAATAATTCCCGATGTTAGAGTAAATGTGAGGGAATGGCCAGTTTTTGCATTTTTGGTATGAGAATAATTGTTGTAACTTTTCTAAAGAGCATTTTGCACTGTATAACAATAGCCTTTAAACTTTTATTTAATTAATTTTAAATAAGCCTTTAAACACTTTTCCTAATTAATTTTTGTTCCTGTGAGTTTATCCTGACACAGATTTTAGTATTTGTTTGTTTATAAAGTCCATATGATATTAATAATATTTGTAATCTAAAAACTTGAAGAAATAACCTATATATCTGATCATTTATTATATGAAGTTCTATTCATAAACTGAACACAATAAAAGCTTAAATGTCTTAAAAGAATTTTTAACTATAGGTAAAAAGACATACTCTATTAAACAAAAAAGTCAAATATTAAAGATTAGGATTCTCTCCTGTTTCTTTCCTTTAATCTGCTCAAATGTGATATACTATATATCACTTGTCATATATGTATGAAGAATTGTACAGCTGACTACACACCAAAATATTAAAATATTTTCTCTTATAATAGTAAGAAAATAGTGAAATATGAGACAATGTTATTTTTATCTCTTTGTATTTTCTAAATTTTTACTATGAATATGTAACCTTTTTATAAGTAGAAAAGCAGTAAGTATTACTGCGTGAAGCTAACTATTGTTCATGGATGCTACTAGTGGATCAATAAGACAAGGAAACAGAGCATTTTAAATTTACTAAATATACTTTTAAAATGTATGTACACACATGTATAGATGCATAGATGTGTGTCTGCACTGATGTGCGGACATTTGTATTTGTTTATCCATACCCTTACAGACAATAAAGAGCATGTGCATTTGCCACTTTATTTCTGGTTAAATGTCACTGTAGACTGAATTAAACTGCACTGACTCTAGGCATTTGTGGGGAAGACTTGATGTTGTGAGATGACTTCTTGAATTATTTCCTGGATAAATTATACATGACAAGGTAGACCGAGTCACATTCTGAATATCTATTTGGCAGGAGACATTATTGAGATATATGTCTTGTATAAAAAACAAGGTAATGAAATATTATTTGGTAAAAGTTATAAATATCAAGGAAAAAGAACTAATTTTTGAGAGCTTATTGTTCTATTTTCTAATTTCTACTTCTATTAATAATTCTAGTTTCTAAGAACCTTTTCCTGGTACTTACATACATCATTTGATTTTCAAAATCTGTTAGACAGGCATTAGTGTCTTTATTTTAAGGGCGTGAAAACCGAAGTCAGAGAGATTCAGCAACATTCTCAGAGTCACAAGCTCATGCACAGTGGGGCTGGAATCTGAATCCAGGTCTCGCTGTAAACATCGTGTTCTTTCTACTACCCTGCAGGGCCTCGTAAGATGCTGCATTGAACAGTAAAGCAGGGGAAATTACAGTAACTTAGAACTTGACAGAGCTAATATTTTCTGACTATATACTATGTCCAGGTGTTTTCACACTCACACAGGATTTATTTTCATGAAAACCCATCAAGTGTACTAATTTTTGAGATGTATTTTTAATGATATGTACACTTCAATATTCTAATATACTCTGCATTTATTACATAAAACAGGTACCAGTGGTATATAGTTCCCACTGGAAATAAAATTTATAACTTTCAATAAAGAAAAATGGGATGAAGTCATAAGACTTTAAGATGAAAGAATTCTCTGCAGTTGACTAATCCGGCTCCCTTATGTTATTAATGAGAATACTGAAGTCCAGAGAGCTAATATTGTTGGTTTATGGTCATACGTCTTGTTAGGGGCCAAGTCCCAGACCAGAATTTAGGTCTTTCAATTTGCTGTGCCACACTCTATTCTCCAATGCCACCTCTCCCATGCTGATAATTAGCAATTAATAATTGCTAACAATCTCTAGCTTTGTTCACAAAGAGACTTGAAGCAACTTAAGAAGCACATATAAAACAAGGTTAAAATGCTAAATTTCTTATGCTGAATAAGAAACCAAAATAGGGTAACTATAAATACAAATAGTGAGATGAATACCCATTACCTGCTAAAAATTCATGTGCATTTGCCACAGTGCAAATGTGTTTGCTCACAGAAGTAGTTCAAAACAAAGACATTTTAAACCTACTTTAAAAGACAGTAAAACATTAAAGAAAATAATGAATAAGAAGAAGATTTAAAGTTTATAGAAGTGTTCTCATTTCCTATCACATCCTGTGATATGATGAATATCTTTTAGGTAGAAATAGAGTTTTAAGACCTTTTCCTCAGTGGCTCGTTTATGGCACTCAATGAATGTTTGCAGAACATAAAAATGCTGAGATTAATTGTTTTAAGTAAAGTGTACTGATGTATAATTCACACCTGTTAAACAGCCAGAGGAGAGAGTTTTACTGGTTTTTAGAAGACACAATGAGATCTGAGTACCTCTGATTACAGAGCTGGCACGCAAAGCAGTCCAGGTGGTAAACGTTGTCCTTGGCGCGCATCACCATCTCGAAGGCAGGAATGAGCTTGCTACAGGCAGCGCAGTTCCCCGTTACACCAAAGAGCCTGGAACAGGAAACAGTTTTTTCAAACTGTAATTACAGGGAAGTGGGAGATGGCCACTAGAGAAGACGCTAAGGCACTTCGTAAAGCTCTCGGTGCGCCATGCTCTAGGATGTACTCAAGTGAGTTTTATCGAGGTATACACATAAATATTCCTTGGTGATACACACTCAGTTGACTTTTCTTGACGAAAATTCTATGGTGTTTGAGAAGAGAAGGAAAAGACAAATACATTGGGAAGCTTACGCAAACAGAAGTCAACAGGGGTGAATTTATAGCACAAGTGTACTTGTTAGAATATGGAGTAAATATAAAAGCAATGTAACTTTGATCCTAAAGCCACATATTAAACATTTTAGGTGGGGAAAAAACACTTGAATGACTCACTATTTTTGTCATCTAGTTACTAAGTGGTTTGCCATTATTATTAAAAGACCACTTATGAACAAGTAATTTATATAGTCAAGAAACATTACAGGCGTCTGCACCTTACAGCCCTATACTGTAGTTATAGCTATGATTATGTTATTCAGGTAGGCACATTAAAGTAAATGAGGCTGTAAACTATATGGAGCTAGATCATAAGTAGAAACATAATATACTGTAAGAACCACCGGAATTGTCTGGGAAAAAAAGATATTTTTTTAAAAATCCTATTTGCAATAGATTCCTATAAATAGTTATTGTAGTGACCTAAAATATAGCACAACAGAACATGTCTCCATAGTTTCATAATGGGAAGAAATAAAATATTTTATTTATTTTCACTGGCAATATTTAAACCAAGTC